ATACTTTTCAACATTCACTGCTTCCGTGTTTCAAAGGCTGGGGTGCAGCCTCTTCAGTAACTGTCAGAATTACATGTGAAGTGAAGAGAAAGCTGAGTGCAAGGATCACCTGTGAGCATGGATGCCAAGGGCAGCAGGCTTCTCCGCCTTCTGCGCTCCGTATTCTGACCTCCAGGCAGCAGGTCCCCATGCCCCGGATTCCTCTACTCCAGTTGTCACTGTTGTGTGCCAAGTGACTCCAGGGGGAACCAGGGAACCAGTAACAAATGGGTCCTTGAGATAAGCAATGGCTTCTCAGGGTCTCTGTTTGCTCATATGTCTGGACCAGACGATTTCCACATCCTTTTTCATTACTGGGTACCAAGAAAGTGGTTTAGTAAAGGAACGTTTAAGGATTTTGAGAAAAATACGTCTGGAAGATGAGGGATCATTTTAGATTGAGAATGTGGCAGAAAAATTCCCCCAGGGAGGCAGGTGAGATTAGAAAGGCCAGGAGGGAGAAGCAATTGGAACTTGGGTGCCTGCGAGAAAGTGCAAGATCTTCTCAGAGGAGAGCAGTGTGGTGGAAAACTCACATACCATTAACGATCAAGAACAACTTTTATTTACTTAGTTCAGTAATGCTAAGAATAGTCACATAAATTAATAGTCATCACCACCATCCCTCTCCAGAATAATTTTATCTTTCCAAACAAAAACCTTGGAGTTATGGCTGTATCTCTGTGTCAGTTTGCTTTCCTAGGATGTGCAGGGCACTGAGTTCAATTCCTAGCAGTACAAAAAAAAAAAAAAAAAAAAACCCGCAAGCATATCTGTGAACCAGTAACTCCTCATTTCTCCCACTCCTGACTCCTGGTCACCCTCATTCTACTCTCTGCTTCTTATCTTGACTGTCTGGGTGCCTTGTAGAAGACACATCACACAGTATGTCTTACTGTGTGACTAGCATCCTTCACTGAACACAGTGTCTCAAAATTTACTCTTGTTGGACTAGTCAAATTACATTCCCTTCAAATGCTATTTCATTGTGTGCATGTATTTTGTTTAGCCATCTCTCAATGGAGATGTGGATTGTCTCTCTTAGCTGTTCTAAACCATATGGCTGTGCACATATATTTAACTCTTTGGGAGATTTCCAAGGATTTTTCCACAGCAGCTACACCATTTTACTTTCCCACTGAGAATGCACAAGGGTTCCTTCTAGATTCTCCGTGGAGACAAGTGGCTCCATGCCTTCAATCTAAATAGGCTTCACTGCAGCCCAGACTTCACCCGTGACAGTGACAAAATGTTCAGTTATGACAACAGATTGGTACCAGAGTAGGAGGGTCTTGAAGCCTGGGAACCTGGCGAGGCAAGGACAAAATGGTACTGGAAGCAGCTTAAGGACCAAAGGATGCATGTGGTGTGAATCAAGACCTGGAGGCCAGGACATTGACTACAGCCAGCTATTTAGGTTAGAGGTCTGGTTCTAGGTGAGAATCCTGGGTTCTAGGTAAGAAACCTGGGTTCCAAGTAGGAACACTGGAAAGGTGGGGATGAATCCAGAGAGAGTGAGTGGGATTCTTGAATAAAGAGGGTGTTCGCTGGTGAGAGTTTTGAGGAGTTCTGCATGGACTCAGCCAGCCACTCACTCAACCTTGGTCATCTTAAGTGCACTTATGTGGAGTGACAGCAGGAAGTGGTACATCCCTTATCTTTTGTCATCTTGATCTCCATGGTGACCAAAGCACATAAAGATGGGAAAGAACCAGTTAGCTAGGTGGTCCTTGGCCTAGAAAGGAACAGGCTTTGCAGCAGGGCTGGGAATGTGGCTGGATGGTAGAATCCTACTTACTCTGCATCAGTGAGTCATGGGTTTCATTCCCATATTGGGGAAAAGGGGCAGAGGGAGAGGAGGGAGCATGCAGACAGCAACTATGGAGCTGTTTCCTTCCTTCATAGGCTGCACCCCCTTAGCTGTTGGTTACAGAGCTGGATCCTGAGTAAGAAAAAAATTGTATTAGTCTGTTTGCACAGAGAGCTGAAACATCAAACCCAAAGTAAGGAATGGACTGCAGGCCCCAGAGGTGTGTCTAATCAGGATCCAAGCAGGAGCCACAAAGGTCTTGTTTTTATGCTTAGTTTGCATAATAATAAAATGACTATGTTATGACAGCCAACAAGTAGTACATCTTATATCTGGAATGATTGACAGCAGACATGTTTCAGATTATAAAGGATTTTAGATCTTGGAATATTTGAAGACATTTTACCAATAAGATCAGAAAATATTAAACCTAAAATGATTTAAAATGCAAAACTTAGGAGCATTGTTTAGACTTGCGTGTCACATTTTGAGTTTTCCAATTAGGAATGCCCAGGCTGTATAAGAAAGGTATTTGTGTGGCTTTTTCCTGTCTTGGCTATGTGTCATGCTAAAAACACCCCCGCCTCTGATTGTTCCTGTCTGATCCTTTGTGCTTTGATTACTGAAGGTTCCACCGAGCACAGTGCTCCATTAGGGGCTGTCCTCTGAGCTGACAGGGTAGAGGGCAGTGCCTTCACATGCGGTTGTGCAAGGGTGTGTGCTTGGTGACAGTGGCTGGGTAGCAAGTGTGAACTCAGTGTGGTGGAGATCAGTTTGGGGAAGATTTTAAATAAGTCATGTTTAAAATAGTTAAGGGGTCTAAAATCAGGTTTATAATGATGATGATAAGATAGATGGAGATTTAAGCTTGGGCAGCCACCCCTGTCTTTTTTATATGAGTTCTGGTGATCAAACTCAGTTCCTCTTGCAAGCAGTATTCTAGATTCCGGGACCGCTACTCACCTGTGTGCTTTTATCTGCAAGTTAAACTGAACACAGCCTTTCCCAGGTCTGTGGCTGGGTGGGGAATCTATACTGCTGACACCAAGTAACTAAAGCATTTGTCAAGGCTCAGCCGCCAACCTCAAGGACATTTTGAGTGTGTAGATATACCTCTGTGACAACTGGACTCCTGTGTGACTCAACGGGACCTCATTTGGACTGTATAAAGAGGTTGTAGACTAAGCAACTGCTGTAGACATCTTCAGAGGCCTGTCTCCTCACTTGGGACTAAGTGCCCAAAAGAATTAACAGACTTTGAGGAACTATTTGATGTTTTCAAAAGAAACCCTTAGAGCCTCCAAAGAAATAAACCTCCTCTCTTCTTTGACTGGTTGAAGAAGATACTGAGTTCTTTCCGGACAGGAGCTCAGCCATTCTCCTGGCATCCCTGACATTGGGGGTAGCAGAGCAGGATCTCCCATTTGTGATACCCCAGGAAGCAGCAAGGGCTTCAGAAGAGAACCAGTTCCTTCAGCCACCCTTGCTCACTGCTGGTGCACTGTACCCATTGGATGACTGCGGGAAATGAGGCCACACTGAAAACTCACTGTACATGACTCTTCTCTGCACCCCAGGGAGATCTAAACTTTGCATGAAATCAAAGAGGCTACAAAACCAGAGCTCTAGGATGAAAAAGTTCCTGAAAGTCAAAATACAAAGAACAGAACTTGGCAGTGTTTGGAGGAGATGCGTGTTTCCCTCAAAAGAAACAAAGCAGGCGAGTGGAAGAAGAGATGCCCTCAAGAGCAGTCACTCACTGTCAGACAGGATTCTCCCTCAGATCCATTTCTGTAGCTAAGCAGAGATGAGGAGGGACATTTCTAGCTAACATGGGCTGAAGAATAAGATGGAGATGCAGAATGGGGAATAGGGCAAAAATCAAAAATAAAAGCTTCTCTCTGAATTTGTTGAATGTTACTAACTTTTGTCTACCTTTAAGAAAAACACCCACCCTGCCGGTAATCCTAGGGAAGAAATTGGACCTAGGGAGTTGATTGGTCTTTCTATGTGGCAGTTCTATCAGGTGGAAGCATCCTCCTGAGAGATAAATGAGATGGTCAAGCTGCATCTTCAACCTGACAGATGACACTTGGTGACTTCAGACTCAATACAGATGGAAGGCAGCGTGAACTTCCTGTTTCTCTTCTTTCCTGACATGCCACGTTCCACCAGCACTGACAGGAGAAGGGAGGGTAAAGATGGGGGCAGCATGCATGGACATTTCCTATGCGCCCAGCCCTGTGGGAACCTACAGGGAAACACGCCAGCTTTTGTGGTGGTGGTGCTGGAGGTTGAACCCAGGGCCTGGTACGTGCTGAACGAGCACTCTATCACTGAGCCACATCAACAATCCACTAAGTAATGAAGGCTGGCCTTGAACTCACTCTGTGGCCCAGGCAAGCCTTCAGCTTGTGATCTTCCTGCATCAGCCTCCGGATTATGCCACCAGGGTGTTGTTTCTTCTGTGAAATAAATGAGGGATGGGAAAATGACATCATTTTCCTCAGTACTACCATGGGGCCCGAATGTTAACATAGGCTTCTGGTCTGAGTTTATCAATCACACTGCTTAGAGGCAGGAGGTGGGAGACTAAACATGATGTGTGCTGCCATCACACTGGATACTTTGAGCATCATCTTGATGCTTCTGGGGGTTTAGGGTGGGAGGTGTATGTGTTTATAGGCTATTTTCTTCCACGATGCCCCACAAATTGCTATAGTTGTTTCATCAGAAATAGATATGACTTCAAAGAAGTAATTTTAATATACAGTTTTAAATTAAATAAATGTAATGTTCACATAATAATGCTATCATAAAATGTATACAACAGCAGTAAAGAGCACACCCTAATCTACATTATATTGGACTTATTCTGCATTCCTAATCATCTTTCTTCAATGATTCTAAATATATAAATAGTTTTGTATCTAATATTACAAGCATTCCCTGTGGCTTTATGAGGGTTTCATAACTGATTTTGAGACAGATATGTTTCTTAAATATTAATTATAGTTCCAGTTTTCTAATCACGGAATGTGGAAATCTAGTATTAATTTTGAAGACATTTGTGGTAGATCTTGGTTATAGAACAATACTGAATAGCCAGAACTCACTTTCTGAGACCGTCTTTGCTCGTTTTGCTTTGCAGGGATATACCGAACAGAAAGGGATAAGGGCACTTTGTACGAGCTCACCTTCAAAGGGGACCACACCCATGAATTCCAGCGCCTTGTCCTGTTTCGGCCCTTTGGCCCCATCATGAAAGTGAAAAAGGAGAAGCTGAACATGGCCAACACGCTGATCAACGTCATCGTGCCCCTAGCGAGGAGGGTGGACAAGTTCCGGCACTTCATGCAGAACTTCAGGTTTGTTCGTTTTGCAGGGGGTCCTGCTCATTCTCTGTCATCACCTGCCTTTCCCCTGCCACATGCAAATGCTTCTTCTCTTTCCTTCCACTCAGTTTTCTTCATACAAAGTTTATGGTTCATATTTTCCTTTCCCTAAAGCAATTAGAAAATCCCTGCTTAAGTACATTTTCCTTAGAGGGAACGTCTAGGAAGGATGGGCAGTCAATAGCCCTGCAAATGTCGCCGTCATTCTGACTGGGTAAACCAATGCTGCATGTGTGTGACCTTCAGTTCTGACTTGAGCCTGGGCTCCCCAGACAAAAGTGAGATTCTCAGAGGCCAGCAAATGAGGTTGCGCATCATCAGGAACAGGCAGGAGCTGGCTGGTGGTGACGGAACTCACATCAGTGATGACTGAACGAGAGAGAGGCCCTGGCTCAGCAGAAGACTGCCTTCATTTGCTGCCCTGCATCTGGAGCAGATTGAATCACAGTCTATTTCCTGTTCTAAGCTGCCAGCCCGAAGGGACTGGATTTAAAACTGTGGCAGGAGGGCTGCAGGGACTCATCTTTATAAGTGCTCAGCAGACCTTTATTCCAGGGTGCACGGGTGGAGTGGTGTGTACGTGACAAGAAACCCTCTACTGGGCAACAGTGGGTCTCATTGTTTATGTGTGGAACCCACATATAAGCCGAGGTTAGCCAGCTACATAATTTAGTTACCATGATTTCAAAAAAAAAAACAGCTTATTTTATCCAATTATAAATCTTGAAAGATTTAGTCTATTTTTAAATCTCTTTTTATTAAGTTCACAGTACTAAAAAGTCAGTGGAGATCAGTAGAAGAATGTGGTTAGTCGCTCTCAAAATCCTAGCTCAAGAGCACAAGAGGGATCCTTTTGTAATCAAGTTGCTTGTATCAGGGTCAAATCATCTTTGAGAGACCACTGAAGTCACCCGGTAATGGAAAATGGAAGCTGCCTCGGAAAACCAGGGACTGCAAGGGTAGTGCATACAAAGACAGATTCCCAGAGCAGGAGGGGACGGGGCAGAGACTGAGTGGGAGATCTATCAGCTGGGCAGCCAAGAGCTGCTGAGCAGGTGCAGGGCTCTGAAAAAGTGGAATGTAAGATCAGGAGTACCTAGGGTATTTCATTCTCTGTAGGAACATGGTAAAAAGATTATTTTCAAATCACAGCCAATGGAGATTCTGCAAAGCATAGTGCTAGAACAAATCACCAAGCATAGCTGGAAAAAGTAATTCTTTTTTCAGACCTAAATTTAAAGTCTGGCCAATTAAATCAAAGGAATATAGTGGGAGCCCCCAAACCATCTAGTCTGTCACTAAGACAATAGGCTGGCCACTTGTCACAAACTGATGGCAAGGCCCCGTTGTAGAAGACAACACCTACACAGCTCTCTGAACATGCAGAAGTTGAGCTGGTGTCTGCCTGGAATCTTCATCCCTGCATGCTAGCCTCTTTGGTATAGGACAGTATTCTGTACACTAGCAAAAGAGAAACTTAAATATCAAACTATATAAACTCTTGGGTCTACAACAGCGTCCTACCTGCAAGACATGCTAGGGCAATGGAAGCACATACTTTGTGGAGTCATCAGCTCATATCTGGCGTGACTGAAGGCCACCTCTAAGAGATGAAATCCATACACTGCTTGGGTGGCCAAGAATCTGAGACTAAATAGCGCAGGGACATAGGGCAAAATCAAATAGTACTTTTCAAATATATATGTATATATTATATATTTATAATATATATACTTTTATATATCAATAAATGACTTCTAATGACATCCTGCTATTCTCAGAGATCAGTGCCTTGCTCAGCCATCATCAGAGATGCTTCCTTCTGCAGCAGATGGGGGCAAATACAGAGCTCAACAGCCAGACATTATGCAGAGAGCAAGAGATTGTGGAACACTCATCCTTACAGGAGATATCAAATCCCTCCTCTCAGGGTTCAGGGAGCCCTGTGGAGAGGACGCAAGAAGACTGTAAGAGATATCAGAGAGTATGGAAGACACTAAAAAACAGGGCCCTCTACATCAGCATATGGACACACAGAGGCTGGGGCAGCATGTCCAAGGCCTGCAGGCGTCTGCAACTGGTTGGAGTCCTATAGCTAAAAGGGGAAGTGGTCACATTCTTCCATCCCTAACCCAGAAGCAATCTCCAATTGAAAACCACTGGTACAGAAAAATTTAGTTTTCCACAAAGGAACTCTCACTAGGGAAACAAACTACTCTTAAGGGTAGGCTGCATGCCCAGCAGTAGATGCTAACAGAAAATGAACTCAACCAATAGATTTGGCCATTCCTTGTCTCATAATGTTGTGTCGTCAGGGTTCTTACTTTTTAAAAAAAATTATGTTTATTTTATTATATCTATAATTTCTTCTCTCGTTTTACCTTATAGGTATTTTGCATTTATATTATGATATCCAGTTTAGTGTTTTTATGGGATTTCTGAGTATGTAATGATTGGGTCTTTATTTTTTGTGCCTTTTCTTGGGCTCTTTTCCCTGTATTTGTTTGTTTTGTCCGATTCTAATGGGTTAGCTTTGCTTTATCTGCTCTGCTCTGTTCTGTTCTATGCTATTCTATAGAAGACTGTCTTCTAATGAGCGACAGAAAGGAGGTTAATCTGGATAGGAAGGGGGAGTAGTAGAGGGAGATGTTAATGGAAACAGTAGAGGAGCAGAGGGAGGGGAACTGTAATCAGAATGTTTACATGAGAAAAAATAATTTTTTCAATAAAATGGGGGGAAACTCTGGCCAATTAAATGTTTAGACACAATTATTTTGACCAATTACTGGGAGACCATGTAGGGACTATTTATTAATGCTGGCTGTTGCTATGATAGTCTTTCCAACTTCAGCCCAGAGCATGTCAACTCTGTTGACACTGAAGACTATACTGTGGGTGATTATCTACCCTTTGCCCATTGTGTACATTACCTCACAACTAACTAATTTTTATAGTTTGTTTTAAAATCCAGGGCCAGGGAAAAGGCTTATAGATAAAAAAAAATCTTCCTGCACAAGCTTGATGACCCGAGTTCACTCCTGGAGTCCTCATAATGGTGGAGGCAGAGGACAAAGTCCACAGAGACGTCCTCTGCCCCATACACTCTGTCTACGGCAAGCACAACCACATATATTATGTCTACACACATAATAGCATGGAATAACATTGTTTAAAAATTCAATGAAAGATCATCTTGGAGTTTCTAAATTACCATTGATAGTTAGCTCATAGAAGTGATTACTTGCTTACTACAAGATGTTTGAACAATGTAGAACAAAACAAGGATAGAGTATTTTTAAAGCAACCCACAGGTAAACGTTATTTACATTAATTTAATACCAGTTCACATGACCTTTCTTGACATACATTTGATGGAAATGATAGTTCACTGTCTATGAGTAGTTTCATACTGCATGACATATCTTATATCTTGCATTTCTAATGAATTAAATTTTATCTCCTTACGTTTGTAGTAAAAACCTGAGTACACTAGAAGGGACTTCCAGGCTTCTAGCAAATGCGCTTCACTATGGAGAGATAGCAGTTCATAAGAGATCTTTCTCATGCTGAGAAAGTTACAGAACAAATTATGATTGGGATTTTAATGTCCTTTAATCATATTTTAGTATCACCCTGGATTGTCTAAAGAATTGCAGCAGGAAAAGAGAGTCCACACATTCCATATGCTTTCCTTCCTCCATGATTCTTCTACGTTCCAACTTTAGCGCCTATGTTTTTACCTAGTTGAGGGATGCGATTCTTAGTTTATATTTTTCAAAATGCAAATTCTGTATTTAGATTGATTTGTTGCATTTATCTAGTTTTCTTAAAATAACACCCCCATCCCTCAATTCTTGGTTGTGTTTAATGGATAAGAAACACAAAGACAACCATAAATGCTTTAACACAGACCGTCTTTGTAGTGCTAACAGGACAGATTGGCTGGGCTTAAGGGCTTGGAGTACACTTTACTGGGGATTTTATAGGCTTTCTTTTAACATTGAAAGATGCCATGGAAATGTATTAAGAATCTTTCATTTATCTCCTTTAAAAGTAACTTTTGCATCAAGGCCAGAAGAATTTCTCTAGGGATTCTTGAATTGAATCATAGTAACTTAGTCAGGAAGTATCTCTTCTTGGTATTTAGTGTTCTCTAGCCATCCTCCTGGGATATAGTTGCTATGCCATTTTATGAATTCTTTTGTGTTAAGGCCATGATGATGGTTTGAATGAGAACGGCCTCCATAGATTCATGTATTTGAATGTTTGGTCCCTAGTTGATGGAACTGTTTGGTAAGAATTGGGATGTGTACCCTTGTTAGAGGAGGTCATAGAGGTGGGCTCTGAGGTGTCAGAAACCTAGATCATTGCCAGACACCCCCTCCTCTCCCTTCCTCCCTTTCTTATGCCTATGGACCAGGATGTAAGCCCTCAGCTACTGCTCCATGCCTGCCTGCTGCCATGTTCCCCATCATGATGATCAAGAACTCTAACTTTTTTGAACCATGGTCCCCAATAAACTCTTTCTTTTATAAGATACCTTGATCATGGTGTCTCTTCACAGCAATAGGAAATAATTGATAAAGGGCTTTTATGGTTGATGGATGACTTGTTCACTTCTGTGCTACATGGGCACAAACTGTCTATTTCACAAATTGTTTCCATTTATTAACATCTTCATTTTCCTGTGTATATGTGTTGGGTGTATATGGTATATGTGTATATTATCTATGTATGTATGTGTGTGTATGACATATGATTGTGTGTTATATGTGTATGATGTGTATGTATATGGTGTGAATGTTATGTACATATGATATGTGTGTTGTGTAGATATATGTGTTTGTGTATGGTACATCATTTTGAAAAAAAAGAGGGATGATGGGATAATAGATTTATAATTGTGAGGTACTGTTTTTAGACAAATATATTGATATTGATATTTGTATATTGATACAAAGTTAAATTATATT